CCAGCTGATTTTTGATTTATGTAGAGGTGAGGTCTCGCTGCCCAGGCGGGTCTCGAACCTGCGGGCTCAGGCAATCCACTCACCTCAGCCTCCCAAAGGCATGGGATTACAGGCTGTGCTACCGAGCCCGGCTTGTAAAATTTTTATTATCCTTACTCTTGCATTTTTTTTGTTTTCTAACATGTTGGGAAAATATTGATACCTTTAATTATGCTGCTTTCAACAGTATGTGGTTTTTATTCTTCCCTTCTATCTTCATGAAAAGGCTCTTTGCTTTGTTGATTTCAAGATTAAAAACTTTTATTTTACTCTCTGTACTCCATAAATGTCTGTAAAATGAAAGAACAGTTTGAATCATGTTTTTACAAATGAACAATATAAAAAGTTAATGTGTTACTTTTCTGTGAAGCATCAAAAGAAATGATGTTCGTGATACAATATTTGGAAAGTCTGCCTAAGAATAAAAGAGAAAATTTAAATGTCCTGTGAGCCATTCATATAGAAATAACCACCATAAACTATTGCCTTTTTTTAAAGTTAATATTTCTGGTTGCAGATATTCATAATTGAGTTTTTAGCAAATGAGAAAAATAGCTTTACCTAGAAAATAAATGATAAAGTTTTAACGCATGCAATATAGAAAAGTAAATCAAACTCAGAAAATACAAGTAGACTTGAGATAAAGACTGGGAGTACCATTTCCGTGTGCTGCTTCTAAAGAAGTGACCAAACCAGTACTTGCAGGATAGAAAACTAGAAGTTTTAACTTTTGCCCTTTTGTTCATAGAAACTTTTAAAAAGTAGAATGGGTAGTTGACAAAATGAAGGGGGTAACTTCAAACCATCAACTGAAGTGAAATACAGCGCTCTGAATGTGGGTGGAGAAACCCTGTCAGATGGTTTTGGCTCGCCCCAGGATGAAGATTGTGACAGCACAGCACAAGGAAATGATCTTGATGTGATTCCATTTCGCTCTCTGAATGCAGCCAATTTAAACTGCTAGAATTTCTTGACATTCCTACTCTGGCATATCTGAGTCAGCATCTTGTTGCAGCAGCAGCTTAATTAAATTTGCCAGTTTGTGCCACAAGGACAGACATGTTCCCATATTCAGAGAGACAGCTGTGAAGCAGCATTGTTAAGAGTTGCAGACACAATACTGTTAGGTTTCAATAGCTCTCAAGACATTTTTTAGTGAGAAATCAATTTGCTGTAATACATTTCTCCCAAGATCAGCAGTTAATATTCATTTTGTTAACCTAAAATATGCTTATTTTTAAACAGTTCTTGGAGAAACTTTAGTAGCTAAGTATGTCTTCTTTTACCTATATTGTTTTTAGAACCAACCTAAGCATCCTAATTTTAATTTCTAAAATTGTTTTCTCATTCAAAAACCGTTCTGGATTAATTTTTTAGCCATTGTTTAGCTCTAAGAGAGTGATCTTGAATATTTGGCATTATTTTGGGGGCCTAAATCTTTTTCTAAAATACTATTGTATCTTTTGGAATCTTCACCATACTTATTCTGATATTATAAAGTTGATTTAAAACAAATCAGTAGTTTTGGATGGAGCTTAACTTACCCTTTGTCCAGGTACAAATCTAAATTAGTAATTCTCAGCCTTATCACCCTGAATCCCTCCCACTTTTTATGACAAATGTTTATAAGAAATAAGACAAGGGTACCTGCATAATGAGCATTTGTATACTTAACCCTGAATTGTACCCCGCATCTTTAAAATAAAAATCGTTTTAAAGATTTAAAGTTACATTAAAAAAGGAAAAGAAATAATATATCTCTTTTACTAGCCTGAAATAAAGTGAATAGATAATACTCTCCACAGATATAATTTTTAAAAATATTGTAATAGTACATATTAAGATATATATCTACATATATAAATATTAAATGAAAAATCATTTCTGTTTTAATATATATTTAAATATGTAAATGGTAGCTACCACTACACTAGATGACAAGATGAAGTCACGAAATAATGCCAATTAAGGTGAGTAAGACATATTTAATAGAAGTAAGATAAAGTATAGCATAAAAGAATCATAGGAAAAATAAAATAATAAAATATGCAGTTAGGATAAATGATAACAGACCAGACTTATTTGTCCATGACAAGAGAAACCTGAAAAGACTGTTAAAAGTTATGCCGCACCGTACCACACATTAAAGGCATTCAGTATTCCTACTGCTCAATGCCTTTAGTTCCCTCTCTGTGAGAAATCCAGAGGCATCTCCTGGCTTCCCGAAAACCCTAAGGAAAGTGACTCTGTTGTGAGTGAGGACCACATCTCTGGATAATTCCTCCCCACACCTTAGGCCCTCTCAGTCCCTGATCACGATGTCCTCAGGACTCTTTGTGGTCACCTGTTTGGTATGTTCAGTTGGAAACCCAAGTTTTCTGTAGTCCTGTTGTGTTGATGTGCAGGTCTGCTTTTCTTTCTTCATTTACTTGTCTAATCCACTTGACCATACAGCCCAGGGATGGTACTGTGCCCCATGTTGTGTCTCCAGTACCGCGTAGCCTGTACGTGGCGATGGGGAATGAACGACTCAGCGGACAACAGCCCTTCTCATTCGTTTCCCTTCTTCTGGGTTTTGTGATGTGATGTAGAGCCAAGTTACTGGGTGGAAATTAGAGTTGCTCAGGCCAATGAAATGTAGGACTTCTAAATTCTTTTTTTTTTTTTTTTTTTTGAGTTGGAGTCTCATTTCGTCACCCAGGGTGGGGTGCAGTGGCACACTCACGGCCACCCCAGCATCGACCTGTTGGGCTCTGGCGATCCTTCCGCCTCAGCCTTCCAAGTAGCCGGAACTACAGATGTGCGCTACCATGCCTGGCTATTTTTTATTTTATTGTAGAGATGAGGTCTCTCCAAGTTGCTGGGGCTGCTCAGGCAGTCCGCTCGCCTCGACCTCCCAAAATGCTGGGAATACAGACCACCAAGCCTGGCCACTAAATTCTCTTATTAAGAAGATAGGTTGCAATAACTGAATAGCAAGAAAAGAGACAGAAGAAGTGTGTATTCACACATCTCTCCTGGGATGGTGAGGTGACTTTCAAATCGGGGGTAGCGTTTGTCAGCCCAAATAACAAGCAGAGAGAGGCACTCTGAAAACAGAGGCTTGGGAGGACATACATGTCCTGGAAAACTGCCTTGCAGAGGGAATACACATACCCTGAAAAACTGTGCATATTTAGGATCGTAAAGGAGGACAAAGGTGTCTGAAGGAAAAAATTAGGGTCAGGTAATTGTTTTGAAATAGTTATACTTGACTACAAAGTATACTTGACTACAAGGGTGACACCAGTCTGAGGCCTGGCAGGCAGTCACTGGGCAGGTATTCTTGCAGGAGTATTTTGTCATCAGACATCCAGTAGTGAGAACCCTCTCTCTGGCCTTTCCCAGCTCTGTTTGTCAGAGGTTTTTTTTTTTTTTTTTTTATATAAGTGATCTCATTGTGATTCTAACAATTTTTGTTTGTTTTGATTTGGGAGTCTTATTCTGCCACCCACACTGGAGGGTAGTGGCAACAATTATGGCTCATTGCATTCTTGACCTTCTGGGCTTAGGTAATCCTTCTGCCTCAGCCTCCCAAGTAGCGGGGACTACAGGCACATACCACCACACCTCACTATTTTTTTTTATTTTTGTGGAGACAGGTTCTCATTATGTTGCCCATGTTGGTCTTGAATTACTGGGCTCAAGCAGTCTTCTCACCTTGGCCTCCCAAAATGCTGGAATTATAGACATGAGCCACCACGCCTCACCTCTAACAGCATTTTATAAACAAATGTGGTAATAGGTTCTCTAGCTACTCACTACTCTCTCTTCTGGCACAAATCATTATAGACATGTCAGAGTTTTTCTCTTATATCCGTAAAAAGCATAAAGACAGTTCCATAGACTCAGCCATTCACAAGCATGATAAAGGATTGTACAACTTTTCCAAAGCCACTACTTTTCCAAAATATGGTGCATAATGTTTTCTTTTTAATTCTTAAGATGAGCCATAGAAATCAGAACATTTAGAATCTCAGTGAATTTTTTAACTTCAAGTTTGTAACTCCATTATATCCTGTCCTTAGTGACATTTGTTTGTCATATTGATATATCTCACACTAGCAAGCCAGACATGATGGGTCACGCCTGTAATCCCAGCACTTTGGGAGGTGAAGGTGAGAAGATTGCCTGAGCCCAGGAGTTTGAGACTAGCCTGGGCTACTTGGTGAGACCTCATCTCTACAATAAATTAAAAAATTAAGCTGGGCATGGTGGCGCACACCACCTTCCTGGAAGGCTGAGGTGGAAGGATGACCTGAGCCCAGTAGGTCGAGGCTGCGGTGACCGTGAGCATGCCACTGCACTCCAGCCTGGGCAACAGAGTAAGACTCCAACTCAGAAAAAAAAAACTAAAAAAACTAAACTAAACTATCATTGTAATAAAATGTAAACACAAAGTATCTGCATATATAATTGGCAAGAATGATTTTTGCCTCTTCAATAATGGGAATAAACTTTTAAATTGAGTAACTGGTCCAATATGTATGCCTGTTCCTCTCCACCAGGTAATTGAAAGTAAGTTTGCAATGTGCTTCTACCCTGTAGAATACCTAATCTACACTAGATGACTAAATATTAAAATGCAGGTGGCAGAGTTAGAGGATAATCCAGAGTTTACTCTGTTAATCATGCCATATTCTCCTTGGTGATTGAGAATCATGAAGTTCCCTGATCGTAATCTTCATGTGAAAAGCACATATTTGTAAATTATATTTTTTTTTCCAGACATATAGGAGAAAATTTGAATGCCTCAGCAAGTTCTGTAGAAAATGAGTCGGCAGTTAGTTCAGCAACTCAAGCAAAGGAAAAAGTTAAAGCCACAATTGGAATGGTTCTTCTTCCGAAACCAAGAGTTCCTTATCCTCGTTTCTCTCGTTTCTCGCAGAGAGAGCAGAGGAGTTATGTGGACTTGTTGGTTAAATACGCAAGGATTCCTGCAAATTCCAAAGCTGTTGGAATAAAAAATGACTACTTGCAGTACTTGGTATGTATTGTCCTTCAGCCTCAGGAAACAACATTCAAAATTAGTCAGGAAATGTTTTTATTTTAAATTGGCATTTGTGTTTTTAGCGCAATCATACTTTTATAAATGGTAAATCTAAAGAGTTTAATTGACAGAGCATTGGTGCTTTAATTCAATTGTTGGTTCCACTGTAATAGTTCAGGCATTTTGCTCTACTCTGAGCATGTCTCACTCCATTTCATGTTAAGTACTAGCAACAGAACTAAGTAGCTTGTTGTACTAATTTTAACTTATGACTTATTATTTTAATTACGTTTTCAAGTTCTCAGTTAGATAAATGATACTGTGCTGAACATCTTTGTAGCAAAGTCCTTGTTCATATATATGATTATTTCCTTAAGATAAATTCTTAAAAATAAAATTGCCAGATCAAAGATTATGCATACTTTTAAAGCTTTAATCTGCAGTTACACATGGGTAGATTGTTCTGCAAGAAGTTTAAATCAATTTGTTTGTACCACTATTACATGAATTTTTTTTTTTTTTTTTTGAGTTGGAGTCTCACTCTGTTGCCCAGGCTGGAGTGCAATGGCACACTCACAGCCACTACAGCCTTGACCTCCTGGGCCCAGGTGATCCTTCTGCCTCAGCTTTCAAAGTAACTGGAACCACAGACATGTGCCACCATGTTCAGCTGATTTTTGATTTATTGTAGAGATGAGGACTCGCCATGTTGCTCAGGCTGTTCTGGAACCCCTGAGCTCAAAAGTGCTGGGATTACAGGTGTGAGCCACCATGCCCAGCTGAATTTTTTTTTTTTTTTTTTTTTTTAGTTAGATTCTCAAGCTGTCACCTAGGCTGTAGTGCAAATGGCACACTCATGGCCATCCCAGCCCCCACCTGCTGGGCTTTGGTGATCCTTCCACCTAAAGCTTCCAAGTAGCTGGAACTACCTGGCTAATTTTTTATTTATTGTAGAAATAAGGTCTTGACAAGTTGCCCAGCCTGTTCTCAAACACGCAGACTCGGGCAATCCACTTGCCTCTGCCTTCCAAAGTGCTGGGATTACAGGCTGAGCCACCAAGCCCAGCCTGAAATTTTTTCTTTTAAGAAAACTGTCTTCACTAATACTTAATTTGTCTCATTTTGATATGGGGGAAATGATCTCTTGGTTTATATTAATTTAATATATGTGGATTACTAATGAAAATAAGCATTTTCCATTTTATTTGTTCTTTTGTGCCTTGCCTATTCATTTTGTTTGCTCATTTTTCTGTTGGGTGTTTGTTCTGTTTTTTGTAATAGTGATAGCATTTTATAAAATAAGCTTCTTAATTCATAAGCATGTATTGTAGTATTAGTCATTTGCTTTTTTATTTTTATGGTGTTTTTAATAGCAGAAGTTTATCATTATTACATAATTTTTATTTACTCTTTTGTGGTTTCCTGTTTTAGATTTGATACTTTAATTATTCTTTAAATCCAAATTATTAGAGCAGTAATTGATAAGTGGTTGTTTTTTAGTGAAACTTTTTATTCCAAGACATGTCTGCTTTTTTAAAAACCAGGATATGAAAAAACATGTCAATGAAGAAGTTACCGAGTTCCTAAGGTTTTTACAGAATTCTTCAAAAAAATGTGCACAGGATTATAATATGCTTTCTGATGATGCCCGTCTCTTCACAGAGGTAAAAAAAAGAATCACATTTACGTAAACAGCTAAGTGATAGGCAGTTGCAGTATTCTGTGTGATGATCCTGCCAAAAGCATATGGAACTGTCAGTGTTTACGCTTTAGGGACCAGGTTATATATAGATAGGTATTTTGTTCATTATGCATGAAATTAGTAGAAATACTAACATTTCAAAATTTTTTGCTATAATATATTCATGTGTGTTTGTATTTTTTAATGATCCAAGAAACTATATTTTAGTTTCCATTTTACTCACAGAGATAGTTTGACCTGACCCACTGATTTCCCAGGTGAGAGAATAGTGTTTATGAGGTTGTCCTGGTCCTTAAAAATTGAGTGATACTTCAGAACTCAGTTACATGAACTTATATTCATTATCTTGATGGTAACCAGTCACAAATTATACATTTCAACTGAGAGTTCGTGTTTTGATACTTCTGTTACTCATGCAAATTGGATTAGCAAAGTCTGTAAATCACCTTACCTTGTGCCCTACCATCACTCAGTGAGCCTAGGAGAAATATAAAGTATACTACTTAAATAATAACTGTTTATATGGAAGTACATTTATAGTAGAGCTCATCTACAAATACCAATCTGACATTTTTTTAAGCTTTTGAAACTGGTCACTTTAAACAACAATATTTAGCACTGCTGAACTCTACACTTAAAAAGGATTAGGATGTTAAGTTTATTCTACCCCAATTTTTAAAAAAATACAAAATTAGTCACTGTAAATTGGGGAGCAGCAGAGGTATTAGGTGTTAAAACAAAACAAAAAAACTTGGTAAAGTAGAATTTTTTTGTTAATGTGAACCAGAAGAATGATTTTTCTAAATAAAAAGAGCAATTTGATTTTTTATTTTCGGTGAACCTAAATGTTATATACTCAAATGGACTGTCTGTGGAAAAGGAACTAAAGCTGTACTTATTTTAACAGTGTCTTTGAAAGCACCAGAATAATGTTTTTAAAGCATAAATTTAACCCTCTCATTTCACTGGCTTAATGGCTTCCCATCCCTCTTAGGAACTCTTTACAAAGTTCTACAATGCCTTCAGGTTCTCTCTCCACTCCCAATCCTCTATTTTCATCTGCAAGTTGCCCTCTCAGTTGTTCTAAATGTTTATGAACAAAGTGCATTATTTGGTAGCTATGTTAACTTTAAGGCTTGTTTTTTATCCATATTGGCATGGTAGCGCATTATATGTATATCACCACTCCAAAGATTCACTGATATCTTCCTAAGTTTTGTAAGTTTTGAGTGTTAGGTTGTGAAATGTAATGTACCTATTGAAAAGTATATAAAATATATATGCAGCTTAACAAATAATTATATAGTGAATACCTATGTAACCCTTATCCTAAGTCAAAAAATAAAGCATTAACAATAATCCAGAAGCCCCCTGTGTATCCCTCCTGGATAATAACATTCTCCCTCCTGGAGCAAATGATCACTGTTCCAACTTTGGTAGTGATAATGTCTATGTTTTTTCTTTTTCTTTTTTTTTTTTGCATCAGAATCTCACTCTGTCTCCCAGGCTGGAGTGCAGTGGATTGATTATGGCTCTCTACAGCCTCGACTTCCTGAGTTCAGGCAGCCTCCGCCTCCAGGGCAGCTGGGACTACAGGTGCACACTACCATGCCCGGCCAATTTTTAAGTTTTTTTGTAGAGACAGTGTTTCACCATGTTGCACAGACTGGTGTCGAACTTCTAGGCTCAAGTGATCCTCCTGCTTCGGCCTCCCAGAGTGCTGGAATTATAGAAGTGAGCCACCATAGCCACACCACTCACGCCCCCTACCCCCCTCTTTGTTGGTAGTTTTTCTACCTTTCTTTGCCTGATTTTGAATTATGTGAACAGAATCCTTTTTTGCCTTTCTTCTTTCACTCAGTATTGTATTTGTGAGATTCATATGTTATGTGTAGTTGTGGTTTATTCATTTTCATTTCTGTTCATTATTATTTGAATAAATTATAATTTAGCCTATTGATCAAAATTTGGGTTGTTTCCAGTTAGAAGCTATTCTAAGCAGTACTTTTTACTATTATGAATATTCTCATGCTTGTGTCCTGGTGCACATGTGCACACATTACGGTTGGATATTCAGATGTTTCTTGACTTTTTATTGGGTTACATCCCGACAAGCCTGTTTTAAATTGGTAGTTTAATACATTTAATATACCTGACCTACCAAGCATCATAGCGTAGCCTAGCCTGCCTTAAATATGCTCAGAACACTTTCATTCGCCTATAGTTGGGCAAAATCATCTAACACAAAGCCTATTTTATAATACAGTGTTGAATATTTTATAATTTGTTGAATACTGTACACTGTAACAAAATTGCAATCGTTTTGCACCAATATAAAGTTGAAAAATCTTAAGTCAAACCATCATATGACTAGAACCTAGAATTGGAATTGTTGGGCCATAGAGTATGCCTATCTTCAATTTGAGTAGATATGCAAACTTTTCCAAAGTGTTATAATTTTATTATTTTTAAATGGACAAAATTGCATGTATTTATCGTGAACAACATTTAAAAAAAATATGTGTACACTGTGAAATGGCTAAATTGAGCTAATTAACATATGCATTGCCTCACATACTTTTTTCCTATGGTAAGAATATTTAAAGTCTACTGTCTTAGCAGTTTCCAAGAACAGTACATTGTTATTAACGAGAGTCACCATGTTGTACAGTAGAGTTCTAGAACTTTCTGTCCTGCCTAGCTGAAAGTTTGTGTCCTTTGACAGCATCTCCCCAACCACCCTAGCTATTGATGCTCAGTGCCTAGATATATGCATTCACTGGGGTTTACAGAATTGCTGGTGTGCAGTCTTGCAGCACAGTCATGGCTCATTCGCAGCCTCAACTCCTGGACTCAAAGGATTTTCACACCTCAGCATCCCAGATAGCTGGGACTGTGGGAGTGCACCACCACACCCCGCTAATATTTTTATTTTTATTTTTGTAGAGGTGAGGTCTCCCTATGTTGCCTAGGGTGATCTCGGACTCCTGGGCTCAAGTGATCCTTCCCCCATTGGAAAAGTGCTGGGATTACAGGTGTGAGCCACCACTCCCAGCCTGTTTTTTTTTTTTTGTAAACATTGTTTTAGCCCTTAATGGTTCTTTACATTCCTTTGTAGATTTTAGGGTAAACATATCAATTTCTAAAGAAAGCTAGGTGAGCTTACTTTAAGTCCACAGACATTGTATTTTATAGGTAGCCCTTAAAACAGTGTTTGACTAGATTGCTTTTCTTTTAAAATGAAATCTGATAATCTCTTGTCTTTTCATTAAAAAGATCATTAATTTACATTCATTATGATAATTGTTGGATAACAGTGGATTTTTTTTTGTGCTTTCTGTTTGTCTTTTTCTGTACATCTTTCTTTTTACTTCTTTTGAGGGGATTGACTTTTTTTCTCCTTCCTGTTCCCTTCTTTAATCATTTGGAACTTATACATGATTTTTCTGTTTTCTTAGTGGTTACTCTTGAATTTTTATAATGAATACTTTTAGTATCTTAACTCTTCTCCCAAACAGTGCAGAAATCATAGCACATTTTGTCTTTCATCACATTCCTCCTGACTTGTATGCTATTTTTTTAATGCTCTTTTTAAAACCTGCCTGCATTATATTTTTATTTTTGGTGTTTTGTAGTTTTATTACAGTATACTTTTTTTTTTTAATCCCACTGGTCCATTTTTTTCCTTGTGTTTGTGTGTTCATGTCTCTTGTCGGAGCTGGAAAATTCTCAGCCATTTTCAGTTACTGCTTCTCCTTCATTTTCTTCTCTGATTTCCCAATTTTTTTTTAGGTCTGATCTTAATCTGTCCTCTGTTTCTCTTTTTCTTGTAAAATTGTGGCTAAAGCATGCATTACATAAACTGGCATTTTAATCTTTGAAGTGTACAGTTCAGTGGCATTAAATACATTTACAGTGTTCAACCATCACCACCATCCATCTTCAGAACTTTTCATCTTCCCAAACTGAAACTCAGTCCTCATCAGACAGTAACTCCCAGTTCCCTCTTTCCTGCAGTGCTTGGCAGCCATGACTCTACTTTCTGTCTCTGTGAATTTGACGACTTTAGGCACCACATACAAGTGGAGACATGCAGTGTTGTGTGTCTCTGTGACTGGCTTATTTCACTTAGCATGGTGTCCTCCAGGCTCATCTATGTGGTAGCATGTGTCAGAATGTTCTTCCTTTTTCCGTCGTGTGTGTGTGTGTGTGTGTGTGTACATACACCACACTTTATCTGTTCATCCATTGATGGACACTTGGGTGGCTTGCCCTTTCTGGCTGTTGTAGCTAACACTGCTGTGATCAGGAGTACATTCATCTGTTCAAATCCCTGCTTTTCAAGACTGAGATGTAGAAGACTCGTGTAATTCAAATGATGAATTTCTTAGTATTTTCGTCTCTCCAAGCTGTTTTCAAAGTATTAGTGACTTATCAGAAAATGTAATCAGTGAGAAAATAACATTCACAGCTTTACCCAAGAAGAATATGTGCCACTTGTGATAATATGTAAGTAACTCAGATGCATAACCATTGGAGGGCTGGAGTAGGAAGGGGTTTATAATTAAAGTACATACACACATTATCTTCTAAGATATATATTTTTTCTTCTGTCAATGAGCCCTAATGTTTTAGAATATATTTTTGGCACCACCTGATCTTATAACTCATTGACGCATTTGCCCTCAAGCCACCTCTTCTTTCATTTGTTTACTTACTGCTCACTGCTCCTGTTTGTACTCTGTGTGTTTGAGGTGTATTTATTGATTGATGTTTCTTGTAGATTCTTACTGCTTTTCACCAAGCCAAGCAATGTATAAAAATTGTTAGTTATAATTCATCTAGGGTCTCGTTTTATTTGAACAGGAGGGTCCTTCACAATATCTACTTTACCATACTACCTGAAATAGTGTGACTATTAGTTTTTAAGCTTCAGTACGTATTTGATACCATATTTTTTCTTTCAGACCCAAAATAAAATTTAGGGAACAAGTCATTTTGCCTTTCTTTGTAATGATAGGCCTGTATGTGTGTACATGAATGTGCCTTTGGTGCATTTAACTCTCAAGATATTTTGAGTATAAATAGCATGCAGTGAGTGGGTAATGGAGAATAACCTGAATCTCTTAATCTCCTTCGTTCACTGTTACCTGTTTGTTGTTGTTGTTGTTTTTGAGTTGGAGTCTCACTCTGTTGCCCATGCTGGAGTGCTGTGGCATACTCATGGCCACTGCAGTCTCGACCTGCTAGGCTCAGGCAATCCTTCCACCTCAGCCTTCCACATAGCCGGACCTATAGGCGCGTGCTACCATACCCAGCTAATATGTTTTTATTTATTGTAGAGATGAGTTCTCGTCAAGTTACCTGGGCTGGTCTTGAACCCATGGGCTCAGGTAATCCACTCATCTCAGCCTCCCAAGGTGCTGGGATTACGAGCTGAGCCACCAAGCCCGGCCTGTTTTTCAAAGAAAAATAAACTATTAGTTTAAAACATTTTTTATTACATAAAACAAATAGTGATCATTTAGTTGCTTGAATACCTACCAGTTGTAAAATATTTCTGATAATTATATAATATATCAGTACAGGTACAAAACTCTCTTAAATTTTTCTTTGATTCTTTCTTGTCATAATTACTGAATTAAATGAAATTCAGTTAAAAAACACTGTAACATCCAGCGTAGTTTTACCAAGAATGATGTGCCAATAACACCTAACCAGAACAGTTTCTATGTCATATCGTTCTTATGGATTGCTTTCCTTTGCATGTTCAGAATCTTTTAATGACTACCATAAGAAGGGAATGCTATAGCTGAAAGTTAGCTAATGTAATAAATAAAGGAGCAAAGTTATTATGCAGATATGGGCTTGCATTTGACTAAGGTTTTTAAAAACAACTTGTCCATGTTCGCACACATTTACCCTAGTTGCTGATGGTATCGTGAATATCAATCAAGATCAGCATTGAAAAGCATGTATTGAGGGAGAAAATGTGGAAGCAGGGAATGAGGATTGGAAAAGGGGAGGAAGGGTTTTGAAACTATAGATGAAAAGATACTAAAGTAAAGCTATTGATGTGTAACTTGGTGCATTTTACAAATGTCTGAGGGAGATGGTTTATAAATTTAGTATAAAGATATTCTTTTTGCTGAAAGCTTTTGTGACCTAAAATATATTCTAAAACACTCAGTTAAGGTTCATTGACAGAAGAAGAAAAATTATGTATCTTAGAAGATAATATGTGTGTGTACTTTAATTATAAACCTCTCCCTACTCCAGCCCCCAAATGGCTTTGCATCTCTGAGTTATTTATATATTATCATAAGTGGCACATACTCTTCTTGGGTAAAGCTGTGAATGTTATTTTCTTACTGATTATGTTTCCTGATAATTCTTTAATATTTTGAAAACAGTTTGGAGAGAAGAAAATTCATCATTTGAATTAGAACATTTTTTTCATTTCTTTTTTAGATTATAGATTAGGATGACCTGTAAGATGACTACTTTATTAATTCTTTGTGCTTGGGAAATTTTTTAGAGTGTACTACTTATTTATTTCTAATAGTTCAATTTAATTGCCTTTGTTGTAGTAAAGTGTGCTGAAATTTTTATGTAACTTTCTTTGATCATCTCATAAATAGCATAGAAGATTGCCTGAGCCCACGGGTTCGAGACCCGCCTGGGCAACTTGGTGAGACCTCATCTCTACAATAAATCAAAAATTAACCGGGCATGGTAGCGTGCACCTGTAGTTCCAGCTACTTAGAAGGCTGAGGCGGAAGGATCGCCGGAGCCCAGCAGGTCGAGGCTGCAGTGGCTGGGGGCGGCCACTGCACTCCAGTCTGGGCGACAGAGTGAGACTCCAACTCAAAATAAATAATTAAATAAATAAATAAATAAATAGCATAGAAAGTATTATGTCTTCTCTATTTAATTTTAAATTTTAATGAGATTGCTAATTTTAGCATTATTAAATATTAGTATGTTAAGGAAGTAGATTAAAAGAAATTGTCGTAAAAATAAATAAGGGATATACAGCATATGTATTGTGAGATGCTTGATTAATGAAATGAGGCTGTTTTTTCCCATGAATGGTTACATAGTCATATGTAACTAAAATTTTTTTTTGCAGTATTAGAGAGGTACAATACAAATGAATTTTTCTTAATTTTTATTTTCTAGCAAATTTTAAGAGCTTGCATTGAACAAGTGAAAAAGTATCCAGAATTTTACACTCTCCATGAAGTCACCAGCTTAATGGGCTTCTTCCCATTCAGAATAGAGATGGGATTAAAGTTAGAAAAGACTCTTCTTGCATTGGTAAGTTTTATCATATGGAAGTATAAGCTTTTTTGATCTGAAACATCATCTATAAATCATGTAGGCATTATTTTGTATTTAAATTTTAACTAATAATGCGATAATTTTTAAAATATGTTATACAAATATGTCTCTTTTTTTTTGAGTCAGGGTATCATTCTGTCGCCCAGACTGGAGTGCAGTGGTCACTCCCGGCCACCGCAGCCTCAACCTGCTGTGCTCCGGTGATCTTTCCGCCTCAGCCTTCCAAGTAGCCGGAATTACAGGCATGCACTACCATGCCCAGCTGATTTTTTTATTTTTTATTGTAGAGATGAGGTCTCGCTGCCCAGGCGGGTCTCGAACCCGCGGGCTCAGGCAGTCCACTCACCTCAGCCTCCCAGAGGTGCAGGATTACAGGCTGAGCCACCGAGCCCAGCTTCTTTTTTTTTATATAGATATAAATACTTGATGTTTTTTTTATTTGTTTGTTTGAGTTGGAGATCTCACTCTGTAGCCCAGGCTCAAGTGCACTGGCATGATCACGGTTTACCACAGTCTCAAATGTCTGAGCACAGTTCTCCTACAGGCATGTACCAACCACACTAGCTAATTTTTTTTTTTCCTTGTGGAGATCTTACTATGTTGATCTTACTATGTTGATCTTACTGGTCTTGAACTCCTGAGCTCAAGCAATCTTCATATCTCAGCCTCCCAAAGTGCTGGGATCATAGGTATGAGCCACCGTGCCCAGCCAAGTACTTAATGTTTTAAAAAATGCCAGTATTAACTTTGTTTCTTGATTTTCTTCCCATTTTTATTAATGGACCTGAATACAAGTAGAAAGCCATTTTTCTTTTATAGGATTTTATTCACAAACATTGGAAATAAATGTATTGAGGATATTTTAGAGTTTCTACCCTGCCTTGTTATGGTTTGTACTTAATACAAGGAGAAGATAGAATATAAAGGGGCAGAGAAAATTCTTTGAAATTCATCTCTTGGACTAAAAAAAAAAAAAAAATTGATGGTGGTTGTCAAGTACAAACATGAATGTCTTGGCTTAAAGAGGTTCTAAATTTGATGTTTGCATTTATTAGAATGATAAATTTCAAGTTAAATGTTTGATATGATGAAAGATACTTTCAGAAAAAAATTACATGAGGGTTTTTGCAATAGAATGTTTTTTTTTCTTATTTAGGGTAGTGTGAAATATGTGAAAACAGTATTTCCTTCAATGCCCGCAAAATTGCAGCTCTCAAAAGATAACACATCTACCATGGAAACACCAGAACAAATAGCTGAAGCTATGCATTATGTAAGTACCAAGGTGACTCTGGATTTTCTGAAATAATCTTTTATATTTCACAGAATACATCTAAACTGGTTGTTCTAAAGTTCCCTCCTGACTTTCTCTGTTCTTTTCACAGTTTTGGCAAAGAAATTTTCAATAAGTATAACCAAGTAACAAGTTATATTTGTTTTTCAGGATATCAGTAAAGATCCAAATGCAGAGAAGCTTGTTTCAAGATATCACCCTCAGATAGCTCTAACTAGTCAGTCACTATTTACCTTATTAAATAATCACGGACCCAGCTACAAGGAACAGTGGGAAATTCCAGTGTGTATTCACCTAATACCTGTTGCAGGTTCGTGATTTGTTGTGTCAAATAATGGTCTAAAAAAAGAGGGGTTGGAACATTTCCATTTCAGCTACATAAACAAGCATAGGTAGTCAGTTGTCAAACAAAAACCAAAGTCTTAATTTAAGGGGGTGTGAATTGGCAATGCATTCAGTAGAATGTCTTCATATGTAAAGCCTCTGTAGTGCTGACACTCCTGAATGGATTATTAGCTCTAGAGTAGTTGTAGTCATGTTAGGGCGTGAGCGCTAGACGAGAAATTACGATGCAGAGTGGGCAGAAGTACACGAGGCGGTCAGATTCTTGTCTTTCACTGAAATAGAAGGACTGTGGCAATTGTTAAGCAGCCTCAAATGGGTGAATTCCCAGGACTTAATTTGTTTGTCTGTTACTGGAATTCAGAATTATTGTAAGTCTATATATAAGCAGTGAGATAGTCTCTGTTTTGACAATAAGATTAATAATTATACAGTAGTTCTTCTGTATAAAGAATTACTTCCCCTGCTGTTTCTGTTCGTATTTAATTTCTTTTTCATAGCTTCCAGAATTAATATGATTATATGTCACAACATAAATACAGTAAATGAGAGACTATGTCTAAGAAGCAAAACCTCAGAGTAAAGTGTAATATATTCTCTGTGGTAAAAATTGTATCACTTTAGCCAGGCTCGGTGGCTCAGCCTATAATCCCGCGCGTTTGGGAGGCTGAGGTGAGTGGATTGCCTGAGCCTGCGGGTTCGAGACCCGCCTGGGCAGCGAGACCTCATCTCTACAATAAATCAAAAAATCAGCCGGGCATGGTAGCGCATGCCTGTAATTCCGGCTACTTGGAAGGCTGAGGTGGAAGGATCGCCGGAGCCCAGCAGGTGAAGGGTGCGGTGGCCGGGAGCCGCCACTGCACTCTAGTCTGGGTGACAGAGTGAGACTCCAACTCAAAAAAAAAAAAATTGTATCACTTTTTACAAGTTCCTGTAAGAACTGAGTAACGATAGCAGTAAGAATATAGCAATAAAGACCAGAAAATCTTTTTTAAACATTGTTAGAAAAAGAATGTATTCTTCCCTCCAGTTGAATTCTCTTGCCCTTAGATCTCTACGGGACTTTAATATCTTCTAGTCCACGAGTGGCAAATACGTGGGATATGTGCTGCCACTCACTTATCCTGTGTCTCTTTGTTTAGTGATCCTCTGTCAGATATACTATTTTCTTAAACAATAACAACTGTTAAATACTAATCACTCCTTTTCTTTGGTTTCTGTTTTAAGGTTCAAAACCAGTTAAAGTAATATATATTAATTCTCCACTTCCCCGAAAGAAAATGACAATGAGAGAGAGAAATCAAATCTTTCATGACGTCCCATTAAAGTTCATGATGTCCAAAAACACATCTGTTCCAGTCTCTGCAGTATTTATGGACAAACCTGAAGAGTCTACATCTGAAATGGATGTATGTAATACTTTTTTTAGGAAAATGTACTTCTTTATCTTTTGAAACATAAAATTTCATTGCAAGTCTCTAAACCTAATAGTTAGAAATACAAGCTTTAGGGTAACCCCCTTGGGTCCCCTTCCACTGTGTAAGTTTTTCGGTCCTCTCAATAAATCCTGCTTTTTCACTAAAAAAAGAAAAAAGAAATACAGGCTTTTGATTCAAACTTAACATAGAATCTCAAGTTTAGCTAGACTTTAGGCAACTAATTTAATCTTAAACCTCAGTTTTCTTTTTATTCATATAAGAAAGATAGTAATACCTACTTGAAGGTTATTGAGAGGGTTAAGTTTGGTATTGCATATAAGATGCTGAGCACAGTTTTTAGTTAAGTAGGTACTAAAAACTTAGTGAATGATGATGGTGTTAATACGAGATTTTGTTTTTAATTTGTCTCATTCATATTCAAGAGTTAAGTGTGACAAAGAGCAGATGAGTTTAAGTTGATTGGTCCAGAAAGTATTTGTCCAGATTGTTCATCCTTGTCAGTATACTTAGTAACTCTGTGACCTTGGACAAATTATATAATGTCTCCGTCTCATGTTTACTCATCTGTAAAATGAGGATCATGATATTATCTAACTCAAAGGATTGTTTGGGTTTAAATGAGTTAATGCATGTAAAATATTTAGAGTAATGCTTGGTACTCCATAAATATTAGCTTTTATTTTTCTGAATGTTTTAAAATATTTTCTCACAATTATTAAAGACATTGTTTATAGAAAACTTGATTCATTCTACAAATTTTTATTGAGCAGATAGTGTTCTGTGCACTGAGGATACAACAGTGAAGAAAAACAGTCTCTTTTCTCTTAGAGCTTACATTAGTGGCAGAGGACACAGCTGTTTAATAAAACAAGCATAACAAAACTGATAGTCATAAATGCTATGGAGATAAATAGAGTGAGTTAAGGTGAAATAGATGGTTGGGGATGGGGCTATTTTATATTCAAGAAGGCCTTTAGGGGACAGGAAATAGGAACAAAGATGTGAGTAAAGTGAAGAAGCAAACAAAATTTTAAAAATCAAATATAAAAATGTTTATCTTATCCTTAGGGGCTTATATAATTGTACGGATATTGACTTTTTGTCTTCTGTATTTATATTTTTCCCCATCTGCCATTAGCCTTTTAATATTATCTTGTTTTGCTTTTGAGTTGAAATCTTATTCTGTTACCCAGGTTGGATGGAGTACAGTGACTTGATCATAGCTCATCGCAGCCTCAAACTCCTGTGGTCAAGTAATCCTCCCATCTCAGTCTCCCATGTAGCTGGGAGTACAGGCGTGAGCCATCACACCTGGCTCATTTGTGTGTGTGTGTTGGAGTCTCACTCTGTCGCCCAGGCTGGAGTGCAGTGGCACACTCACGGCCACCCCAGTGTCAACCTGCTGGGCTCTGGCGATCCTTCCGCCTCAGCCTTCCAAGTAGCCAGAACTGCAGGTGCATGCTACCACGCCCAGCTAATTTTTTTTAAAAAATGTTTTGTAGAGACAAGGTCTCGCTATATTGCCCAGACTGGTCTCCAGCTCCTGAGCTCAAGTGATCCTCTCACCTCAACTTCCCAAAATGCTGGGATTACCTGTGTGAGCCACCATGCTTAGTTGCCTTTTAATAATTTTATGAGATATATGTCATAAAGCACTTTCAACTTTTCTCATGCTTTCATCTTAATACGTTTTTACTTTTCAAAATCTACCTAAAACTTGGTGGGAGGTGAATGTCAGGAGGTGACAAGTGGCTGTAAAGAAGTAGGTTAAGAGGGATAAAAAGTGACAGGGACTTCATTTCATAAGGGCAGATTAGGTAATTTGGACGTTTCCATGACCGATGGCAACTAAAAAAGTTGGACAAATATAAAAATGTCATTTTTAGAAGTATGAAGGAGCTAACAAGATAGTGAGGAATTACAGGGCTGCAATCCTGAAGGAGGCAGGGCTCCCAGAAGGTAAACCCTGCCTCTTGTCCTTTCTGTCCTGTATGATGTGTGCCAGGTCCGAAGGGACAGCTGAGAACATGGACTGTGCTTTTGGCAGCACCACAGTACTATGGGGAGGAAAAGAGTTCAAATTTCCACCAAGGGACTGAACCCCAAAGGGCTGCCCCCCAGGACTGAGGGTGGACCAGAAGTTGACCAGCCCCCTGAGCACGTTACCTGGCTTCTCAGGCCCTAACGTGGGCAAATGCTTTTGGACTGCCAGTGTCCCTAGATAGCTAGCAAATAAATGGAGACCTTTCTCAGAGAAAGATCTCATCGTTTGAGCCTCATTATGACACTCCTGTGTTTTGATGTCTAATATTCTGACTTGTGTTGCTTTCTAAGTATTCTGTAATTATAATTTTTCTTTTTTTGTTCAACATTTTAGAATATTTTAAATTTCCAAGAACTTGAGCTTATGTTTGTTTAAATTTTCCATAATGATTTCGAATTTTATTTTCTGAACAGAGAGTAGGACCTTGGCAGATTCTGCTTTGCATCATATTGAGATTTTCATTGTGTGCTAACTTATAGTCCATTTCTGGAAATGCCTCTTGGGTTCTTGGGAGGGAAAAGGTGTATCTGTAGTCTATTTACTTATGAGTGTTCAATCTTTCATGTATGTTTGTTTCTATCATTTAATTAATTGTTCATGCTTTCTATATCCCTGTTTATTTTATTTTATTTTATTTTTTTCATTAATCAGTATTTTTTATTATGGTTTTGTGGGGTACAGTTAAGGGTTAGGTGTACAATGACGTTTCATTCAGGCACCCTGTAGATAAGAAGTGTTTTCCCATCCCCCGACAGATATTTGCTACTGTTAATCCCATCCCCCTCCCCCGCATAGTTTCCAGTACCATCAGTCATTTTCTCATAGTATTGCATTGGATGTTCAAGGTCCATTATATGAGTGAGAACATGTGATATTCGGATTTTTGTTTTTGTGAGAGGTCACTCAGTATTATAGACTCTAGTTCCATCCAGGTTGCAGCGAAATTCATGATTTTGTTCTTTTTTATGGCTGCGTAGTATTCCATCGTGTATATGTACCACATTTTTTTAATCCAGTCCTCTTTTGATGGGCAGCATGGTTGTTTCCAGGTTCTTGCTATTGTGAACGACGCTGCTATAAACATACGTGTGCAGGTATCTGGTAGGGATCCCGTTTCAATCTTCTGCATGTGGTCAGCCAATTTTCCCATCACCATTTACTGAATAGGTTCTCCTCTCCCCATTGGTAGGTGGTGGGGGCTTTGTTGAAGATGAGTTGGTTGAGAAATTGAGGTTTTGCTTCTGGAATCTCAATTCTGTTCCATTGATCTATATGCCTGTTCCTGTACCAATACCAAGCTGTTTTGATGATTGTAGCTTTATAGTAAAGTTTGAAATCTGGTATTGTGATACCACCTGCTTTGTTTTTTTTGCTGAGGATTGTTCTGGCTATTCTTGGATGTTTGTGTTTCCATATGAATTCCTGTGTTGTTTTTTCTAGGTCTGAGAAGAATGTTGTTGGTAACTTAATGGGTATTGCATTGAATTTGTAGATTGCCTTAGGTAAGATGGACATCTTCACAATGTTGATTCTTCCGATCCATGAGCATGGGATATTTTTCCACTTGTTCATGTCGGCTTTGATTTCTTTGAGCAGTGTTTTGTAATTTTCATTGTAAAGGTCTTTCATGTCTCTGGTTAGGAAGATGCCAAGGTATTTCATTTTTTTTGTGGCTATTGTGAATGGAACTGTGTTTTTTATTTGGGTTTCTGTTTGTTTATTATTGGTGTAGAGAAATGCGATTGTCTTTTGTATATTTATTTTGTATCCTGAGACTTTGCCAAAGGCTTTTATCAATGTAAGGAGGCCTTTGACAGATTCTCTTGGGTTTTCAAGGTACACCATCATATCATCTGCATAGAGAGATAACTTGACTTCCTCTTTTCCTGTTTGAATACCTCTAATTGTCTCCTCTTCTCTGATTGCTTTAGCCAGGACTTCCAATACTGTGTTGAACAGGAGGGGATAGAGTGGGCATCCTTGTCTAGTTCCAGTTTTCGGGGGAATTGGTTCCAATTTTTGTCCATTTAGGAGTATGCTGGCTGTGGGTTTCTCGTAGATGGCTTTTACTATTTTGAGGTATGTTCCCCGTATGCCTAGATGTTCAAGGGTTTTTATCAAGAAGGGGTGCTGGATTTTATCAAAAGCTTTTTCTGCATCTAGTGATATGATCATATGGTTTTTGTTTTGACATCTGTTGATGTATTTAATTACATTTATGGTTTTACGAATATTGAACCAGCCTTACATGCCAGGAATGAAGCCTACTTGGTCATGATGGATGATTTTTCAGATGTATTGCTGAATCCAGTTTGCTAGGATCTTGTTGAGAATTTTAGCATCTATGTTCATCAAAGATATTGGCCTGTAGTTCTCTTTCTTTGTTGGATCTTTACCTGGCTTGGGTATCAATGTGATGTTGGCTTCGTAAAATGATTTGGGGAGAGTTCCATCTTTTTCAATCGCCTGGAATACCTTCAGTAGGATTGGTATCAGCTCCTCCTTAAATGTCTTGTAGAATTCTGCTGGAAAGCCATCTGGACCAGGGCTTTTTTTTGTAGGAAGTTTTCTTATTACGTGGTCGATTTCCTTGATTGTTATTGGTCTATTTAGGGTCTCAATTTCTTCTTGTTCCAACCTAGGTAGGTTGTGTGATGTCAGAAAGTCTTCCATTTCCTTCTGGTTTTCAAGTTTGTTTCCATACAAGTGTACGTAGTAGTCTCTAGTGATCTTTTGTATTTCTTCAGGGTCAGATGTGACTTCATCTTTTGTGTTTCTGATTATGCTTATTTGGTTTTTTTCTCGTTTTTTCTTGGTCAGTCTAGCTAGGGGACCATCAATCTTGTTTACCCTTTCGAAGAACCAGCTTTTTGTTTCATTGATTTTTTGTATTATCTTTTTGTCTCCTATGTCCTGGATTTGGGCTTTTATTTTGGTGATCTGGATTCTTCTGCTGAAATTAGGGTTTTTG